ACATTACCACGCAACGACCAAGCCTTTGGCGGCAAGATCATAAAGTTTCCGCGGTTGCGGCCCAAGGCCAGCGAGCCACCAGGGAGGTGCGACATGCCTTGGAGCAGTTGCATAAGCCCCCGCTGCAGCTGAACGTCGCACTTGCGTTCGGTTGGCGTCCGCTGACGGAACGCAGCATCCACCGAAAGCTCACACGAAGAAATCCCCCCACTCAGCACTGGTCGCGTTGCTGGTGCTGGCTACAACAAGTCCTGACAACAGCAAGACAAAAGCTGGAGAACGAGTGTCCCCAAAGCGATTGGAGCAGGGATGACGTCAGCATCCATCTAAGTCTCCACCCAGACAATGCCATACATGTGCCATACATGCATCCATGCATCCATGCATCCTTGCATCCATCCATCCATCCATGCATCCATCTATTCATCCATCCACCTACCTACCCATGCATCCATGAATCGACGCAACCCCTCTATCAGCCCCTCTAGCAAGCCCTTCTATAGCTCTTTGATAAACCTGTAACACCTCTCTCAACCCTTCTATGAACGGCATCTCGCGAGACGGTTGTACTTTGAAAGCCAACATGAGCGTATTGAAAAGCTATTGGGGCGTACAACGCACAGTGAATCGCGCTGATTGGAGGCCGCCGCATCCATGAAGAGGGTTGTCATTTCGAGGGCAATATAAGCCAAGGCATGGGAGTTTAATTACAATGGATCGCGTCTTGCGGAGGACGCGGACATGCCGCGTCGGTTGTTGTTTCGAATGCAACATGATTCCGAGGTATTGGAATTTGCAATGAATGGCGCTTTCCATCGTTCCGGAGGACGCAGACACGCCACCCGGGTGATGTTAGGCCAGCATGTTTAATTTTAAAAGGATCGCGCTTTCCGGGGGGATGCGGACACGCGGCCTACACCGAGATCAATTCCGAACATGAATCGTCGCCGCACCACAGGCGCAGCACGCTCTTGCCAGCAGAGTGCTGTCAAATCCGAGCAAGATACACCAGCAATGTATCCTCTAGAACCACGGCAAACCCTTCGCTGCGCTCTTGGGGCATGTAGCTCAACATCAACATGTTCTGTCTATATCGAGCATGTAACGTCACAGGACTTACGTTCGCGAGGCCAACAATTTGCAGGACAGCCATGCGGCCAGAAGGGTTTCTTCGTTCAGATGGGTGGGAGGGAGGGTGGGTCAAGCTCAAACGCTCGAACCCACACAATCGAACGTATGACGTATGCAAGCTGCTTCTGACACACCCAACTCAATGCCTCCATCCTGCTCGTGCTTCATGGAGTTCGTGCCAAGCCGCAGTAGGTGCTTGTGCTGTATTTCTCACCAGGGAGGTGAAGCACAGAGCTTGCGAGCCCACTGCAAGGCAGCAAGTCTTTGCTGGGCAGCCTCGGCCAAGCGAAAACACGCACATAAAGCATCACTGGAATGAAAACGTTCACTACTGAACCACATTTTGTCAAAGCCACAAGCTGTACACAATTGTACACAAGCTCTACAGCACTACGTGCAGCATGAGATATGCATACAACTGGACAGACAGACGGCCGGACGGACGGACGGACGGACGGACACACACACACACACACCTTCAGACACCCTCTCTCTGATAAGGCGACGCGTACCAATGACGAAACAGCTCGGCAAATCCTGATTGCACATGTACTGGATGCAGCGTGCCTGCTTGCAATAAAAACTGTGACCATCCTCGCGCTCAGGTGCAGCCCGCGAGCTACTGCTCGACAGAAAGCAGCGATTACTCTGTTCCCTCCCACAGGAGCGGCTACCAATACTAGCACCAGGGCCGGCTTCTGCAGCTACGAGACCAAAGCCTGCCTTGGTCACATCCTGATGCATGACTGGGGCTTTGTCGCACCAGGCCGAGTCATGCTTTCCTGTTTTTCGACTGTCCTTTTGAAACCCAGCGCTGTCACCGATCACGCAGTATTGCAAACTGGGTGCCGAAGCCCCTGCTTCCGGACAAACGCACGCGCATGCACGCGACAAGCCTGGGATGTCACTCAACAACATCAGCCCAGTGGTTTCAGAACAACGGAGTAGCCCAACTCGCAACTCCAGCGATGTCGCTTCCGGTGCATTGAGAGCCGGCGTATGTCAGCTCTGACCACCCCATTTTGCATGCACGCGTTAGCTGCACCACCGCGGCCGGCGCTCTAGGCTCGAAAAAGCTCCAGGAGCATTCCGAGAGCATTGCAGCCCCGATCACACCCCCAAGTGGGTTTTAGAAGATAACGGGCACCCTTGAACCTGAAACAAAAAGCTATTTCTTTGTGGCATTAATTCGGGCATTGGCTACAGTGGGCAATCTAAGGGACGATTCCAGCAAGTCGCCGCAACTTGAACTGAAGCAAAAGCGGGAACAAGGAACAACCAGGCACCTTTAACACTGCAGGTCATGGTTTGGTGAACATCGTTTAAACGCAGGACAGGCACGTGAACAGAGACTTGCCTCGGCTGCCGACGATGGTGTCCTGCGTACTTCGTGGCATCAGGCTCATGCTACGACATTAGGCTGTAGATGCGTCCGTGTCTTCGTGTCCAAAGCTCCCAAAGGCACGGAGCTCGTTGCAGGACTTTGGCCATACATTGAACCCATTGGCCCCGAATTCCAAAATCCCGACTCCCGAGGTCGGAGCAAGCCCGTGCCTGCAAAGAAGCCCTGCCGACAGAGACCCAAACAACCAAGGAATTTCAGAACCGGAGCGCCGTAGTCTTGTCGTATGCAAGTCTGTGGAAGGGAAGCGCGCCTCAGTTCCGGCAACGAAACACAACATCAATGATTGCTGGGTGTGCTATGCTCCCTCTCTACTCCCTCTCTCTCTCTCCCTGTTTCTGTGCCCATCTTCCAGCATCACACTCAACAAGTGCAGGAAACACTGGCTATCACTGGCTCGTGAGCTATGCAATCGCAGTTGTTGCCGTCACTCATCTTCCCGCCTCCTTCTCTCACAACGAGACAGTACAGTAACTTCACTTTGAACGTGTTTCAGCCGAAAGAGAGCTCACAAGAAACAATATGTGCAACGGCCAGGTCAGTTACGGAGTTTGCACCTGCACCACCCGGATTCCTCCCCGGTTGCTGCGCGCTCTAACACTACCGACAGCCTTAGAGTTACGCGCCGGGTCCGTAGCTCGGCGCAGGCACGATGGATGCTTGTCGGGCTTGGGTTCTGTTCCCGCTGCTATTTCCCGATGTCGTGCATCGTATGCCAGACTGAGATCAAAATCCAGCATGCAGCCGATGCAGCTGCTCCGCAGAAGATGCTGCGCGCTGTGACCGAGATGCTTGCATGCTGTCGTGCATCAGGCAGTCGTGTGTGCAGTTTGTTGGCGCAGCGTGGCCATGTTTGATGTGCTTGTGCAGCGAGGCCATGGCTTCACACTGCCGTCAAAATCAACGTCAAAGGAGTCAAGGCAATGCAGGAGATCAATATCTTCCTGGGCCAAACTGCCAAAAGAAGGTCGCGCTTCTATCAACAAGCGGGTCGGCCCACGAGGCGATGTTGTCATGCATATTGCTGCTGCCATTACCGATTATTTCTCGAACGATGCGTTGAAAAACACTGGTGGGGCTGGTTACGCTACAAGTAGGTGTATTAGATCGCTGTTCGCACAAAGTTGACCGCAACAACCGCAACAACCACAACACACAACCCAACAACCAAAAAAACAAAACAAACATACATACCATACCAAACCAAACCAAACCAACAACAGAACAACAACCGGACAACAACGGAACAACCACCAAACAACCACCAAGCAACCACCAAACAACAACCACCACACAGTCGCCAAACAACCACCGAAGAACGACAACAGCAACAAAAAAAAGTGCACCCAGACACACACACACACACACACACACAGACACAACCATGTAAGCCAAAAATCTGGACAAGGCGGCGAGACCCAAAGCTTGATGTGAAGGACGACTATTGTCGTCAAGTTGACATGCATATCTGCGAATGCCCTTATGTAGCAGCAAGAGTCAACATATGGACAAGAGCGCTCAATCACTGCCTCGCAAGCCTCGTTTCCAACGATGGCGGAAATTAGATGCGGATGCCCAAGCTACGACTCATCGTTCATTGCTTTTGCAGGTGATGCGGGAGACTGCGTCCAGCTTCTCTTCCAGTCATTTCCCATAGCTTGGAAAGACCGCCATGCACGCTGCAAATGTAAAAGTGATGGGGGACAAAACACTCGAACAAGCAGACCGAGGCGACCGGATCTTTGCTTGTTTTTCGCATGTACAGCAGACTAACATAAACACACACAGCTCGCCCTGAATACTGGTCGGTTCAAAACGAACAATAGCCAGTGGAAGCAAACAGAAATGAACATTCTCTCCCGCCTGGATATCCTGAAAACCCCCTGAAACTCAGGTGCTTATGGTGGGACGTTTGCCAGCAGAGCTGCGGCAAGCCACCGGGGGCCACTGGCGGCCCCACTCGGAGAAGGGCCTAGTACTGGGACTCTCACGGTTGCCGCGATCTCTGAAAACTCTTGCGGAAAAGCATGCGGATCCCAGTGGCTTGAAGGGCGGAGGTAGCGCTGCGCCGGCCAGCCATACCTGATTTCATGGCCGTCCGGCCTTCAGCCCTTGAGCCTCTGCCCTCCCGCTGAAGCTCCGAAATGCTGCCGGCGAAACCAGGAGGAAGGGAAATCCCCACATGCTAGGCAGCAGGTAGCCATGGCAGGAACCGCGCACTGCTTCGGCAGGATACGAAGATCGTAGAGCAGATCTTCCGGACCAGCTGAGGATGCTGAGGTCTGAAGCTGAGCTGCTTATACACGGGCTCTTATGACAGGCCTGGCTTCCTTGTTCCCACAATGCCAACAGCAGTAAGACCAGAAGGATGAGGCTTCGAAGTTTTCAGGCTTTGCGGCTTGAGACAGAGATGAAGGACATGCGACCACAGACCGCTCACAAGCGAAGCCTACCTAGCCTAACATGCCTAACCGTAAGGCCCGAAGCCTGCTGGCGATACAGACACTGGTGTAACCAAGGCCCGAGCACGCCTGCGACACTCCTGGCTTGCGAGCACCCTGGCTTCTCTGCAGAGTGAGATCTGAAGCAAACGGACAATGCTCCGTTCGAAGGTCCTCGATGATCCACTTTGTGGGATCTTGCAAAACAGCCTCAGCGTTGGCCTGGTCCAAGTCATTGAGGATCCTGTCAGACGGTGATGACGCTACAAAGCAAAACTTCTATAGGAACCCGACGCCTACACACGATTTTCGAGCCCAACCAGTTCAACAGGTCTTCTCCACATGATCTTGTGTCGGGTCCCCAAGCGCGGATGCCAACAACCCTGGGTCGAACTGCACACAAGCTATAAAAGCTTCTGGAAAGGAGGCAATAGAAACAGAGTCACAACGCTTGTGAGGACAACATTCTCGAGTCATTGCAGCTGTTCTGAAAAGTTTGCGGGCCCCTTCCAGCAGGGCAAGAGCACTAGCAACCATGAACGAACAGGCTCTGGACAAGCGGCAGATGCCACGGCTCGACATTTACAGGATCCCGTTTCAATGCTCATCATGCAATGCACACAAAAGCTCAGTAGATTCGAAACACCAGGTCAAAGCATAGCACCGAAGTCGAGTCTATCCCAGCAGTTGAGCGAGCTCCGCAAGGTTCCTCCAAGGGTAAAACCTCGTTCTCCCAAAACGCTGCCTCATGGCCACCCGGGGGTCGGTCATGCCCAGGGTCTGAATCACTTCCTCAACGGCCGAAAGCTGGTGAGTTCGACAGGCCGCATGACAGGCCTGATGCGTGGACAACATCCTGTCTGGCCTAAAGAGCATCGCTCGCAATCATCCGTGCCCAAAGGCACTCAGCCTTGACGTGCTGGCTCCCGACCCCGAAGATCAGCAGTCCTGGAAACGGATCGGCGCCAGGAGGCCTCCGTGGCGATTGTACCTGTTCGTCTCTTATCCTATGTCCTATGCATAGGTACTTTGCGGCATCCACCACCTTCCACGATTACTAACGCCTGCTTGACTGACCATGGACCACACCCGCCTTAACCACTGCACCGGCGTCCAAACAAGCATCATCACTACCGACAGCCGCCGCTGCCACATCCATCTTCACTATCATCGTCACCATGTTGAAAACGAGCATCACGACAGTCGACTAACAACATGTGAGCCCATCAGCGTGCGGGTTCAATGTGAGTCCATGTTCTCAGCACGATGGCGAGGAAGAGGATCTCACCTTGCCCTTGAAAAGACAGAACCCAACCAGTTCGCTTGTGGTGGTCGTCGTACTTTCCGAATCGGCTACGCTATGACACACATGCATGGGAGACCATGGGAGCGTCTAAAACATCTGCGTGTGGCAAGGCTCAGGCCATCTTCCATCGAGCATCCGCAGATACTTGCTCAACTCAAGTGCCGCCTAGGCCATGTCTACTCAGAAGTCAGCGCTCGGGTATGCAAAACAGTTGCAGGGGGCACCAGTTGATGGTCCTCTTCATCTTGGCACGGAACCTGTACCGCACAGCTGAAATAGTTCATTGAGGACTCGAAGATCACGGGATTGACTACCCTTGAGGCGCATCTTTTCGAAAGCTGCGTTGGAGGAACCTCTTTACTTACAGTCTGCATGGGCTCCAGCCCAGCCGTTTTGTGGTGGACTCCAGGCCAAGGCACTCATCGGTCTCCTGCTCTTCGCCTTCGTCAGCCTTGCCTGGACCAAATTCGCAGAAAGTCTGCATCTTCACAGGCAGAGCTGAACGAGTCGAGCCTTTCGGCTTTTTCCCGATTCAAGCTACATGTTCTGATTGCGAGCAAGGCGCCTTTTCCAGCACCTGCAGCTGCGGCTGGATTGCGCATGTGCGACGGCAAACATGAACTCCAAGAGAAAGCATCAAGACGAACACTCGGCGACGCGTCTGGTGCACTTCATTGGTGTGTGACAGCGCGACAGGCTTACCTCCACCAGGCCCTCTGCCTTGACGTTTCTCGAAACGTTGGTCCAGTGCGGATAAGATGAAGAAGCAACATTTGCCAGCGACCCGCGACGGGAAACGCCATGACCCACACTGCTGGCCTTTGTTGCCTCCTGTCTTGTTGTTCTTCTCATCGAGTTCCTCGGACTTCTGGCCTGAGTGTAACAGAGGTGTGCCGAGGCTTCAGGATGGCGACTGTGAGCCATCACGGCAATCTGGCAGGAAAACATCAAAGCCAAGGCGGCGACTGCGCCATTCGGGTACGGCATCCTTGCTTGCAGCCTCAACTTTGCCTCGGCAGAATCTGAGCCACATCCACGCAAAGAACTTTCCCTGCAACATCGCTACAAGAAAGAAACCTTCAAAATGCACACTTTCGACACACCCATGCAGGCACCCCTCAGCTCCCTAAATCAGAAGCACAAAGTCGAATGCCAGCCGGCAGCCTTCGGTCTTGTTGTTGCCCTTGTGGTCGCCGTCCTTCTCTCCTTTGCCGTCTCCCTGTCATAAATGGCAAGCTGACGGCTCAGACATGGAACCATATCGCGTCTTGAGAAGCTTCGGACCTGGGAAACAATCGTTACTGTTACCTGATACGAGTAGCTTTCTCTGCAAGTCGGCCCGGCCTTGCCCTTGGTCTCGTTTGCCTGCTTGCGCAGCTTCGCCTCGTGCCACGCCATCCGTCCATAATGGTTCCCAAACCCTCAAACTGGCTAGTCAGGGGATTCTGTGACCAGATGCCGAGCCATCTTGCGGAGGAAGGTGTAGTGACCCTTTACGTCTCCCCTCTGCCAAACCTTGTGCACCCGAAGACCTTCTCCCCTCCGCCCCCGGCTCTGCCCAACCTGATTGATGATCCATCCGGTAGGGTCTGTCAAAGTCTCCTGGATTTCCGGCAGGCGGCAGAGCGGGGTGCTCGTCATTTTGGGATCTTGACAGGATGCTCTAATGATGCTATCATCTTTGTAAGACGATCATAAACTCTCGGTTCCACGATGATGTCGACATGAAGCACCACCATCCATGGACGATGCCACTGGCCCTCGCAGCCTCAGCAATTCACACCCATGCCTGACAATTCCCCGTGTTCGCGTCCTTCGCTTGCTGGTCCAAATCGTAGAGGATCTTCATCGCCTGAAGAAACGTCCGTGTCTCGACTCGAGGGGCCATAGCCAAGGATCGCATGGGTCAGAAGACATCAGTTCTCTGCATGACAGCGTGACCGGCTACGAGCACTTCATAATGACAACGGTGCCCACAGGCTTCAATCCTCCATCTTCAGCATTTATTTCACCAAGCGCCGGGGATCGCTTAGTGCCCGTGCAGATAAAGCCCCTGATCCTCCAGAGCTCGGGAAGCACTGAGCATCCCTGCCTGGAAAACTTGGGGCGATTCCTGGATTGGAATCCCAAAAGATGAATTTCTATAGTCAAGATAAATTCATAGAGCCCCTGCAGCTGTACATGGCCAGTTCTGCACACGGCCCTGCAAACACCACCTGCATTCGCAAGCGGTAGACTCGTCTAAAACATGAGGACCACCTGCCCGTGGGGGCCTAATATACAAAAGACCTTCCTAGGAATTGGTGGACTCACTATGCCACTATGCTGGTATTTGCCGGCATGAAGCGCTGAATTCGACAAACTTGAATGACCCCATGGCCCAAGATTTGGAATCATCTGTCTATGGGATGATCGTCGCGTAGTCTGGCTGCTTTGTGGCGTTCACAGAAGGGCCCCGAGTGATGTTAGAATCAGGCGGATGCCCGGTAGTGTTCCTCACACCGGTCAAGGCGTTGGCTGTGACATTGGCCTTTGCTGGTTTTGTGGCTTGTGCCGGGAGAAGCTGCACCGAGGAATTGGGATCGACCTTGATGCTGAGCGTCCCGTTGATGTCACTTCCCTCCAGGTCCACCTTGCCACCGTTCCAAGCCTGAACAATGGCATCCCCGATCACTCCTGAGCTGATGGTTATGTTGGCATCATCTGCAAGGATGAAGTGAGAGATGTTGGGATTTGCCTCCATTCGCGCGACTGTGAGGTTGCTCTTGCCATCTGCTACCACGGCTCCCGTAACGTTGTCCACCCAAACATCCGCACCGCCCGTAGCTGCCACGGCTTTGAGTGGTTTCGGCACCGTGAGAGTGGCAATCTGGCCACCTTTCGGCCAAGCAAAATGCTGCCGAACGGCCCGGTCGTCCATGCCCAGAAGCAGGGTGGAGCCGAAGGTCATGGCTTGAACTTGAGACTGGACCGTCCAACCCAGGCCCATGGAGTCTGCCGCAACCTCAAGCACGGGCTTCAGCCGAGCCGAGTCTGTAACGACATGGACCACCATCGGTGAACTCACCTGGAGCCGCTCGAAAGGGGCCAACCAGTCGCGCGTCGCAGAGACCAAAGCGAGCTGCAGCAGGCAAAACGCTACAGCGACCATCCTGAAAGCACCGGTCAGGACCAAAATTTGCTCGACGCTTAATGGCCAGTACTAAGCACAGACGCATCAAGCACAGAACACGTCGCAAAGGTAGTCTTTCGCAGGACATGATGACATGGGATCTTCAGCACGCGGCTTGGCTGCCCCAAAACGCCCGACCTGGCCTGGGACGGCTTGATCTCCGAGAGATGCTCATGCACCTCAATTGGAGTGAAAATTGCAAGACACTGCGCGATCGCATGAAAGGGATGCCCAGGCCACGGCCGCATTAAGACGGATCTGCTCTGCCAGCTGACCATGCTTGTTGTACCAGTGCACAGTCCTGGCAGCGCTTCCTCTGCTTGGGTGCTCTCGAAACGCAAGTCCGGAGATGGAGCTCGCATGATATTTGCCCAGCCCCGGTTCCACCCAGATCCTTTTCGCCACGGCACTGCACTGTGATATTCACAGGGCTAGCAGTCTCAGACTTCGGGGGAAATAGTTTCGTTGGTGACGCTGCTCTGCAAACGCTAACCTAACATTTCCCGTAATGCCTGCCTACATGCTTTTCCTCGCAGTCTAGCGTCCAACACGTTCACATGTCTGCTTGCCGAAAACTCAGGTAGAGCCATGTAGAGCTGTCCGGAAATACTGCTAGATCGAAAAAGAGCGTCTGTTGCACGCAGCTGCTTTGCGTTGCCGCTGCTTAGCTTGACAACATATCCTAGCGCTATTGTCGTGGAGTCACTGTTGTGAAACTCAGACGCTCATCAGCATCCTGACAGCATCCTTAGCTGTGGCGGGCATGAGGTTTGTCTCTATTCAAGTCCTGATTCAACCTGTGTAGGCCTCTTCGACTCCAGCGGACGACCTTCACACCCTAGCGCACCCAATTCTGATTGCCATCGCGGCTCCGTGATCGCGAGGGCAAGTCTGCATCCTCCAAGCGTGGAATCCGTGTGCGAGGCTTACGATGCTTAATAGCTGATACAAGCTGAACATGTCGAAGCTCAGTAATCCGAAGAGCACCTATATCAATTTTCCTACGAACCTTATGCATTGGCATCTTGCGCTCCCACCATGAGTGCAGAACATCCCTGAGCATCCCGACCCCGCCCTGGCAGACCTTGAAGCAGTCGGACAACTCTCGCTTCCCCTTCAGCACCTCAGCGGCCACCTGTCAGGATCTTGGCAGACTTTCACGGCCCCGTGACGTGCTGAAGCGCTCCAGAACCAGCCGCTAAGAGATCTCACCTGGGACCTCCGCGGTGAATGCCTTTGCATTTTTATGGGATTTTAGGCCTGGCCCTGGCCTGGTGCATGCGTCTTTGCCGCTGCCTCCTGGCCAGGTGCTGCTGCGCCCGCCGCTGGAATTCCTGGGGAACAGTCGCAACTCTAAAGCCCTCCTCTGGACAACCGATCAGCGCTTCGGGGCCTTCTCCCGGTCATTGCTGAGCGCTTCCTCGGTGGAGTCCTGCGAGAGGGGCCGTGGGCCGGCTCAAGTCGATGCTCTCGCATAGGCTGCAATCCACACCGAATGAGAAAAGGGAAATGAAAGGATAGCAGCAGTAAGAACCGGCATCAGGGGCTTTCCTCCCGCGAACGGGAAACCTCGAAGAGCCGCCAGCCAGTCACCTCAACGCGCCCCAGGCCCTAGAAGTCCCAAAGAGCACAAGACTCTTACAGTACTTTTAGATGTTGACCTCCTTCTCTCGGACTCAGTCACGCGTCAGCCGCGAGCAGAACATAGGGATTGTGCGTGCGCGTGTGTGTGTGTGTGTGTCTATATATATATATATATATATGTGTGTGTGTGTGTGTACCTACACACATAATGCGAGAGCCAGAACTACCGAAGCTACCAGGAATTACAAGGACCTACTCATGTGCCGTTCTTCGTGGGTCTCTTCCATGCCGCTTTCGGGCAACCGTTGCAAGTCGAGTGTGTGCATAATCGACCGCATGAGCGTGCCATGAAGAGATGTGACCGCATGGGGACGTTGCGATTGCACCACGGACAAGTCTCCGTGTAGCACTTCAATCCGAGGAATAAACTGGGCCAAGAACACATGTAAGGATCCAAGTCAATACCACTCAAGCCAGCCTGACCTGTCCACACATAACATGGATTGTGCCATACGTCCAGCACCGTCGTGTGTCAATGTTCCGTCTCTCTACAGCAGCCTCGTTGTGCTTGCAATTTCTTAAGCCTTAAAGTTAAGCCTCGTGCATCCGGACGAAACTTTGGACAAAAACATACAAGTACCGCCTTCCAAATGATCGGTCTGCTCCCCTGACATCCCCAAATGTCGCAGTCGCAGCCGCGCCTGGTCACTGGACGCGAGCTCCTTCCTGTGCTGGCGGGCTGTCAGCTTCGGTGGTTTGCTGTCTTGCAGTCTCACGGGATGAAGCTGGAAGTTCATCATGCTGGAGTCGTCTGGACCAATATCCGATGCACACGCAAGTTCTCACGCTCCACTCCTTCTCGTGACGATCTTTCCATGCATCTGAATAAACCCCATCCGGGTGGGTTGGCAACAGGTGGTGGAACTGACCCCACTGACTCAAGCCAGTCTGAACTCCGATGAAAACGTAACATTACGGACAGCAAGCAAGACAGATCCCAGCAGCAAGTACTTCAGCATCAGTGGACCACGGAACTTGCTGTACAGCTTGCGTACGTTCTCCTGGGCAGAGGCAGCTGTGCTCGCGACGACAACTTGACAACGCCTCTCACTAGTCCACCCAGCACCCAGCACCCCGCTGCTGTCCGGAATCTCGTCGCGCACGCGGGGCTCAGCCAAGCGAGGTGACTGGGCGACAAGAACAAGGCATGCCAAAAACACCGTCTGACGCGTTTGAGGAACGGAGGGGCACATTCAGGATGCTTGCACCATCTGGCAGTACTGAGCAGACCGAAAGCACTCGAAGTCAATCTCCCAACTTGAAATTACAGCCCGGCGCCCCAGGGTCCACTGTCGGCTCCTCACACCGCTCGGGCGTGGGCGTGCGGTCTTCCTCGGAAGGTGCTTACGAACTCAGGACCAACGATTTGCATCATGCAGCAAACCATGCAGAATGCCAAATTTGACGCCCAGAGTCCCAGACCTCAAGACCTAGAATCCTAGAAACCCTCCCACCCAGCCTCAGAGACGACTCTACGGAACTCCCCCCCTTTTCCAGGCGCAGGAGCGATCACCATTGGTGCCGTGACGGTTCGCAAGCTCGCGGTGCTGGGGACCTTGGCTGCTGGGTAGGATACCAGCTGCCGAACCTCTAGCAAGCTTACGCTAGCTCGCATGCACACATCTCAGCGATCAGGATGCATGGCCTCTGTGCCGGCTGCGATCCGCAGATCTTGAAAAGCTTGCTTCTCTCTGGAGCCAGGAAGCGGAGGTCATGAGGTTCATCGAGGTGTGGCTGGCCTCTCGGGCACCGCCCAAGCTCTCGGCCTGGCCATGAGGAGTTCTTAGAGATTAGCCTTTGAAGATCTTTGAAAGTTCCCAAAGCCCTTGTAAAGGCCCAGGCACCAGGTCCGAGCGCGCGCACGGCTTGCGAGGCCGCGGCCGCAACCGCGCGAGGCGCAGCTGCCGCTCCTCGTGTCCCGCAGGGCGCAATTGTGGCGCACATGCAAACCTGCTGCGACGCATCACTTCCCCACAAGCAAAGCGTCAACCCACAATACACATCGACATCTCAGCCACACCCGAAAAATGTACCTTGAAGCCCTCGCCTACTCTGTAACCAACACCGTCCTCCTGCTTTGCGGCCTTCTCGCGCTTGACGTAATCCAAATACCTGAGGTTCGCATTTTTAGCGTGAACTTCAAACATGCACCGTTTTCAGTAGAAGAGCTTGTTCGTCTGCAGTCTACTGGCAGAAGCGACATCAGCCAGCCTCGGCACTACAGTACAAACATCCCTTTCTGATTAGCTCTGCCTGGCCGAGTGCCTTCAGGTCATACTTGTGCCTTGCAACTCGATGCTTATGGACCACCAATGGTGACATCTCCGGGGTGCTCCTGGATGAGTTTCATCTCTTCTTCACGCCGCAGCTGCGCGTCCTCAGCAAGTGCAAGGAACTGCAAACGGCATGCCTGCAGCCTTTCTGTCGACCCGAGAAATCTAGCGCTGCAAACCCCCGACGAGTTGCCATGATTCAAGAAAGCTGAATCACTGATTCCAGCTCGCTCATTCCAATGTTTGGGCGGGGGCGTACAAGCTGAAGGCAGAGACAAAGAGCGCTTTTTGGACTTCCAGCTCATGCACTTGGCAGGGCGCTCATGGACCCACCACTTCTTCACAAGTGCAAATGGCTGGTCAAATCCAACGCAACCCAGCCGAGCAGTGCACTTACGAGCAAAGGCAGCTGCGTACGACAACTTGACAGACAGGTTCCCTCCGCAGCCCAGCTGCCCGCATTTCCTGCTGGCGCCGCCTCCGCCGGTGCAGAGCCACCCTTAGTAGTACGGTCTGGCAAGCGCCACTTTGAGCCACGACCTTAACAAGCCAGGAAGCCCTCCCGCTTCCTCTGCCATCTTGAAGACGGTCACCCGAAGAAGGAACCCCTTGAAGTCTTAAAGTGTTGGGGCTCAGGGTTTACCGGGAAAAGTTCGGCTGCATCAGCTTTTCTCGTTTCGAACGATGTCCCGGACGTTCTAGACCGATAAACCTTGCAAGGCAAGCTCAAACCCTTCACGGCAACCCATATGAACCCCTAGGCCCCACCATTTGGGCGAAAACGCCCCGCCCTACTAGTAGCTGTCTTGAGCCAAATGCATGAATCACGCAAGCAAGCGTGAAATCCCTGTGCGGCCTGTAGGAAATCGGAAATACAACATATTCTCTGGCTTAGGAAGCATTTGCTACTCGCCTAAGAGAATCCCGCTTGAAAGACAAGGGCTTTGGCATGATGCGCGCCGCTGGAAATAACGGTGGCAAGTGCTGCAATGGGAGTCGCAAAGCTGTCTGGACCATGTCCTCTTGAGCTTCTGGAAGAACTCATCTCCTTCCCCGTCTGCTGGCGCCGCTCCTGCCCGAGCCGCATGTCGGTCGCGGACTCATGCCGCAAGAGATGTATGTGCGAGAGACAGATCTGCATCTGCAGACCCTCCCGTTGGGCGGACTAATAGGCCTTCACCTTGTCAGAAGAATTCCATCATCCTTGCTTATGATTGTACGAGTGGTTTGTTGAGCCTGTCTTAAGCCTCAAGCATGTCCCAAGCTGCTGACGTGTTCAACCATGCTTGTGAAAAAGGAACGCCGTACCGGTTCGGGCCCGTCGGAACCTGCGCCTGTCTCAGCAAGATGATAACCATCACGGTGCTCGTCTCCATGACTCCCCCGAATGCGGCAGATTTCGCCCGGTTTACTAGCTTTACTTCACCAGGTTGTGGGGCGAGGGTGTTCATCGGACGGAAACCAAATTTTGCACTGGACGCTCACCAGAAACCAACATGCGCCACTGAACCCTACTCTGCCGTCTGGGCTTCGTTGAGGCTGTAGACTTCTAATTACCGTCTGGAGCCGTTCCGGCCTTGGTTCTTTGCGGCCGCTGTGCCCCCGACCTTCCTCGGGAAAGCAGGCAGCGCACGCGACTTACCGGTGCACACATCCCTCATCTCACCGGTGCACCAAGCTCGGCGCTGCTTGTGGTCTTGCAGCTTGCGCAGCCTTGGTCAGCCGCAGTTGTGAAGACTCCGATGCTCCCCAATCCCCACAAACTAGCTCCGACTGCTACTGCTACGGTAATTACTACTACTACTACTACTACTACTACTACTACTACTAATATACCACCATTACCACAAGCAACTCCAACTTACCAATGCTTGCCCAATGTACTGTAGGCTCGCCGGTGTAGGCACTTTGCGCTATGACTCCCCCACCCGCAACCCCCCACCCCCGTCTCAGATTATGTTTGCATTTGCTGGTGTATGCACTTTCCGGACCGGATCCGAAAGAAATTGATAAACCAACAATGCTAAGATTTTGGGAATGTAGTCGCGGGCTTATTTATGCTTTTTCTTGGGCCCCCTTCCTCCGACCTTGTTGGTGATGTTGGAGTGTGCAAACCCCACAAGGAAGGAAGCAAATGGTGAAGCAAAAGTGTCAGGATCGCGCAAATACCGTGTAAAGCGGAGGTGCTGCTTACTCCTTACTCCCCCTGCTGCTGCTACTGCTATTGATATTGCCACTGCCACCACTACCGCTACCGCGACTGCTACTGCCTAGGCTGCTACAGCAACTGCTCCTGCTCCTGCTCCTGCTCCTGCTCCTGCTCCTGCTCCTGCTCTGTTACTGCTCTGCTTATACTGCTACTGGTTTACCGCTGTAGGGCTACCGCTACCGCTACCGCCATGGGGCTGCCGCTCCTCCTGCTGCTGCTAGGCTACTTCCGCCACTTCTGTTACTGCTGCTGCCACTGCCACTGCCACTGCCACGGCCACGGCCACGGCCACGGTCACGGCCACGGCCACGGCCACGGCCACGGCCACTACCACTACCACCACCACATCACACAGATTCACACATCATAGCAACAGCTAACATCCTTGGCCCACAGCATCTTCTGGAGGTCGTCCATGTCGGCGTGCAATCCACCCTGTTGGTCGTTCAGCAGGTTCGTGAACATCGTGAAGCCTCGAAAGGTTCAAATTCGGGGCATTTAAACCCTCACAGGCGGGATTGCAAGAGCTCCCAAATCTGTGGCATAATTGGAACATTGTCATCTACCATCTAAAAGCTTTTTGCTGCGCACGACATGGGCTGTTTCACACACGGGTAGAGCTTTTTGTTGGCTGCAGAACCACGGCCTGCGGTAACTTGTCAGCGCCCTTGTCGCGCATGACACCATTGCCAAACTCGACTCTCGGTGCACCACTCAGCCGTCCACAACTTAATGCATCTCTCTGTCTCTACAGTACCGTCTCTCTGCCTGTCTCCCTACCGTCAAAAGCATTATGCATAAATTGTACATATATTGTATATGCATATGAAATCTCGCAAAATGCAACGATAAAATCAGTCTCATAAAATACATGTTCGATCCCTAGGCGCATTCCGATCTTTTTGCCCTTTTTATTGATTGATTTTGTATGTGTATATATATATATAACCAAATAAATAAAAGTATATATATATATATATATATATTCATATATTTGTTTATTTATTTATTTATGTGTGTATGTATGTATGTATGTATGTATGTATGTATGTATGTATGTATGTAAGTATGTATATATACATCCATCTACCTATCCGTCTATCCATCTATCTATCTGTCTGTGTGCCTATCTATGTATGTACGTATGTAGGTATGGATCCATAGATCTATCTATGTAGATTTCAATTCAAAGCTGGGTCAGGCTTCCACGTTTAAATTGCTCTAGGCAGGACGCACATCCACCAGCGTGGCCTTGTTGACCACGCTGTTCGACGCGGATGCACGCACTGCAGACTGCACGGAAGTGGCCGCCTAAGTCCTGAGATCCTGGTTAGAGACTCTACACTCTTTACCATGCTTCATGCAAGGCTTCATGGCCAAAGTATGCTGATGCTCCGTGGCTGGTGAAGCTCATGTGGAGTGATATCGTCATCCGCTTCGCAACTAAAGACACAGCTTCCAAAACCAGTCTGCGCGCCGTGCTCGTGCAAAACTGGAACCAGGAATTCGGACAAGTCTAGCCACGACTGACAGAAGAATTCACATATTGGGTTCGGTGACCAAAACGTGTTGCTAGAACCTCAAACTGCCTGCCTACATCCGAAGATCTGCAGAAGCCCTTCTGAACCGCGTAGTCAGATGGTCATCATTACCTGCGCTGGGGCTTGCTCTCGCGCGAGTTGGCTCCAGCGTGTCTCCTTGCCTTCAGGATCGTAGACCGCATAGATGTCGTAATAAAAGGTGGGCGTTTGATTGCAATTTCCTTGGAAGCGTTCCCAATGGTCGCCCTTGATGGAGGAATCGGCTTGAACCATGTAGTTTCGTGTCAGACATGCCGGGAGTTCAAACCAAGGTGGAATGCAGGGGCAGCAACAACAGCAGAAGACACCGAGATTGCCTCGTGGTGATGTCGGCACGTTGGAAGTCTTCGGAGAAGCGGAACTCGTAGGTAGCATTGCCCACTCGCGCCAGCCACATCAGAAAGCACCAGATGGGATCTCCAGCTGGCTCGGTCCATGACCCCGTGTACCAGGGCTGTTTGAAGCCACCAAAGCCTGTGGCAGTCAGAGTTCGTGTCTCGGCATCGAATTTTCCCCAGCGGAGTATTTCCAGAGATCCTGCGGTCGGATGCGATCCGGATTGCAATGTCACGCCCGCGAGGTTGCGGATCGCCTCAATGTCCTCAATGCCAGAAGACGGTCTCGGAATCGGCTCGGTCTGGCACCAGCAGAGGCGTCCAAGCAAGGAAGGGCTGTCAGGATCGGTGCTCTCGGAAAGAATCTGCAGGATCGCAGAGTCTCGGTCGTAGGTCTTGAGGCAGCAACACGACGTCAGCGCAGTCGGGCAGCAGCCAGCACAAGGCGACATTTCAGGAGCGACAGAGATGCTTCGCCCTCTGCCGCTTCTTCCACTACCGCAGATGTGTCAGAACAACAGAATGTGACAATGGCCTCAAGACAACACGACGATGATGCTCTAAGGTCGTGTTCTTGCTTCCGCAGAGATGGTTGGATGTGCTTGCACCAGAATGGCGTGTGGGGCTTGGGGAGCGACTCGAGGCATCAACACCACGACCAAGAGCACAGGACCAACGCAGCATATGGAACTGCTCTAAGGACACTGAGGCTTCCACTGATTCCCCTGTTAGGGTTCGCACGATGCTCCTGTGGCCAGAACACTCCCAGTCTCAGCTTCTTGTGAATTGAAGGGAAAGGTCAAATAACACTACACTACAGTGCGCCTAAATGCTGGGAGAATCAAAAACCGGGGTGAAAGCAGAGAGCTCCTCGCACAACTTCTTGAATTCCTCCGCCCACTTCTCACTGTCCCCTTTGAAGCCATAGAAGTTTGCCTCAGCGCTTGCAGGCTTGTAGCTTCTCTCTGAACATCTCAAGGGAACAGCATCGGTCTGAAGGCTTAGAAACTCACAGTTCTCTCCCTGCCCCCATTGAGCCCAGGCTGCGATGTTGCGGAACTCACCCTCACTGAGCCAATCGTCGCCGTTGAGATCGCAAGCACGGAAGACTGCGTGGAGCAGCTCTTTGCGGGCTTTGGAGTCCTGGGCCAGATGGTGGGTACTGGCCTGCGGCATGATACGCACCTTCCCACCCCAGCTTCTCCATGCGCACACACACACACATATGCATTATATATATATATATACACATCCATCCGTGTGTGTGTGTATGTGCCTGTATACACAATCAGAAACATACACACACACACACACATACACACACCCACATACACTCACACATACACACATACATACATACATACATACATACATACATACATACATACATACATACCTATGTACATACCTATGTACATACCTATGTACATACATACATACATACATACATACATACATACACACACATATATATATATATATAAGTACGTACATACATACATACATACATACATACATACATACATACATACATACATAAGCACGTACTTACTTGCATACATACAGGGTCCGACACAAGGACTTGTTGTAGGTGCGACGTTCACATGGGAACTCGAAGACTCGAATTGGAATGAAAATGCGTATCTATATTATTTATATATTGGCTGAATCCAAGAGCTTGCTAC